TCACCTCAGAGTTTGTTTTGATTCAGTCACAATACAATGAGCGATAATTAACAAACGGCTACATCACACACACATACAGAGACACATGTTAAAAAAAAACACGCTGGTTTCTGTGTTCGTGGGCAGTTCACGTCACCGTAACGTGGTTTCTGACCCAAACTTAAAATTTACATACAAATAGTTCCTAAACTTAATCTAACCCTAACTCTAATCCTAACCTCAAACTAAATTAAACAAACCTAAATACCTTCTAACTGCTAAATATTCCAACAATAATATTTTATAAAAACATATTTATTATAATTTTACATTTCTCTCAGATTTACTTTTTATTACTTTGTCCTATTTATTTATTTGTACTTTTGTAGTTTTACAAAATCCTGCGTAAAAGTGTGTTGGCTTCTGTGTCATCAACAAGTCAGATATTTAAAAAACAAAAAAAAGAACTTGTATTATAACCAATGATCTAGGGTTTTTTTTTTAAACAAACTTCAGCAGATTAATTAAAACAGCATCTCTACGTAACCAGTGTTTTGTGAGAAAATAAACTTTTTGTAATTTGTTTTGTATTTAATGAGCAATAAAGCAATACTTTATGGTAATGTTTGTAAAGCTGACATCAATCAAACAAATACTTTTCAGAAAATAAGCCTTTATTTTCTGTAAAACTTACTGTATGATCACTGTATTCTTCTCTTCAAACCTAAAACAAGCCGTAAAGCCTGGGCTCCTCTGCCGACATTTGTAACGTGTACTCTGTTTGGTCTGGAGTACAGATGTTGGCAACGGTTGAGTTAAACTAACGAACTTATCAGAGCCTGATTGGTCAACCCTCTGAGGATTTCCTGTCTCATTTTCAGGACTCCGGGAGTTAGATACAATTGTAGCTTCGTCATTCAGAGTTCACAAGGAGAACTCTGACTAAAAGTGCAAAAAACTAAAACATTACTTCAGGTTAACTATCATATCAGGGACACCTTTTTTCAAAATACCCCACACTGTGCTGTTTCTGAGCTGTACTGGAGGAGGTTAGGGCAACATTAACAGTCTGAGATAACCTCACGCTGGCGTAAACCCTATTGGTCTGAATCTGTTTTGTGCGTCTTTATCTATGGTCTATAATCAAAACATTACATTTGGAAAAAAAATAACTTTCCACAGCAGAGTCAGGTTTCAACAACACTAAAAGAAATTGGATTTTCTACTGATTTCTAATGGCGTGGCATGCAGTTAACTGTACCAAATCCTCAAGGTTTACGTTCTTAGGCTATAATTAGAATTAGTCCTTTCATTTACAGAGGAATCTGTCTCTCCAGGGCGGCTCGTGGTCTGGCAGCAGGAGAGACCAAGTTAAAATCTCTGTCAAAATGTCTGAACCACTAAGGAGTTGAGCAAGTTCCAGATTCCTGCGAGATTGTAATTTAACTCACTGGCAACGAAAGGCAACGAAAATATAATGTAAATATTATCATTAGACTTTAGAACACAATAAAACCTTAAATATACAGTATATATGTACAAATAGGTGCAGGGAAAAAAACCCATCTCGTACTCACTCATGCAGATCCTCTTACTAGGGTGAGAACTGGAGACAGAAAATATAAACTCACCTGATAAAATGTTGTGTTTTTTTTTTTTATGTGCAGTTATTTATGACGTGCAATCTGGCTCCACTCGAGTTCAGCTCTGCTCCACTACAGGAGTTCTCCATGCCCACTCCACCTCATGCCAACTTGAGCCCTTCCTAATTAAAAAATAAACAGTGCAGTCAGACAGGGGCGGAGAGAAGGTTTCAGGGCATTAGCTCCACGCTTCCTACACCGCGAGAACAAACAAAACATTTCAACATTTCAGGAGGAACAGTAACTCTTGGTAATATAGGAACTTTTGTCCAAACCTAAGTCAGACAGTCTCATTACGCATAACAAATACTTTCAGTTGTAGTAAACAGCTGCCACAGAGGGTATTACTGTGTTTTGGTACCTCATGGCTCATCTTGTTGCTGTTTATCAGACAGATTCTAAAACACTGGTCTTGATTTATCTTAAAAGATGTCATCATCACTCTCCAACACTTTCCAAGCTACCTTGAGGTCAGGCAGTTGTTCATGATTACGTGTTCCTCTCACCACATGTTTGACGTTAGCTATTAAATGATAATCTAAATACGGCAACGCAGCTACAGGCAATGATGGCCGAAGTAATGAAAAATGCTCAGAACAACGGGAGACGACAATATACGACTGTTGTCCAACTGATCGTACTTCTTATGTGCAGTACACTGTATATACAGAATCATTAATTGATTGGAAATGGAGTGTACACAGTGTATACTGTATGCAGTTGTATACAAACATGTCCAAAACGTAGTACATCTCTCTCTTCCAGGACAAAAAAAAAAAAAAAAAACCTGTGGCACTAAACTAGTCTAATAATAAGAATGGTGTAAATACTGCATGTTTATGAGGACACTTTATGTTTATTTATTTTAATTAATTAAATTATATATGTATTTATTTATTTATTTTATTATAATGCATTATGTATTTAATCAACTATATATTTATTTATGACATGCCATGTATTAGAAAGTCAAGCGGTTACATATGTAATTGTTCAGTTAATCAAGCTGTCAGGGTTATCATAGTTGATAAAAAAAAAAAAAAAATCCAACTACTTCTAGATCCACACCCACTAATTCTGGCAAAATATATCTTATAATGAATATATATATTTCTTTGTTTTTACTTTTTTTGGATTATCTGTGATTCTCTGATCCTCTGTGGTCCTGGGGAATTATTTAACCACAATTATGTTCTTTCCTGACTTTTTCAAAGAATAAAGAAAAAAAATTGAAAGAGGATAAAAGTAAAAAACTAAAAAAAAAAATTACATTAGTTAAATTCTCTCTTTCTCAATAAAACTTCAAAACACAGGATTATAAAATCCTGAAAATTTGTAGCAATAACAAAGATGTAAATTATATGGAAACCAAACCTGACTCACTACGTCTAACGTGGCTGCAGACAGTAACTGGGATGTGACAGGTATTGATAAGAATTTAAAAATGCAGAATTTACATGTCATTTTTTTAATTATAGTCAATGAAATTATGGGTTACAAAAGTTGATGAAATATCGTCCTACCTCAGTTTGTGTCCAGCAGGTTGCTCATGGACAGTGTTGTCTGGAGCTGCACAATCCTGTCACTCAGTCTAAACCATTCATACCAGTCACACACTCCTGACTGTAGAGCAGGCCGCGCTGCTCTGCCTGGCTTAAGACGCAAATACACATACTCGAGCATGAATGTGTTGGCTCTTTGTCTTTGACACACACACACGCACACACACAGAGTCAAACACGTATGCTAAGCTTCAGAAAAAGGATCCTTGCTCCTAATCCAAAACTCCTGGATGAATATTTATAAGATGAACGAGGGAAAGTAGGACACAAAAATAAACAAACAAACAAAACTAAACTAAATTAAAGATGTGTATAAGGACGGATCTGAGTGTGTTACAAATTAATTATTTAAGTCACATTCATATTTACCCATGCAAGCTGCACCTACAACTGAATGGGCCAGAAGGTACTTTGCCAGGTAGAGTGGGAAAAATACTGTACTCAGCCTCCACTGAACACTGTACGGAGTGTAATGAGATGAGGTATTCAAGAGGTTAGAGAGGTTAACATGGACCCAGACAGATAACAGATGTCATTACGAAAATACCATCAAATAAGAATCACACAAACACACACACACACACACTCACACACACACACTCAGCTTTAAAAAATCGTTAGATGCCAGCATGTGTGCGAGTGTTGAACGTCATTCCAATCAGCATCAGCTGAAGTACTAGGTTAATCCCCACTGTAGCACTCACAAATCCACACAAAGAATGCACACACACATACAAACACCAATTGGAAGAGAAAAAAAATAATGATAGAGAGTAATGAGAGGTCAGGTATGTGCTGAGCACACCTGTACTACCCACAATCCCTCCAGGACAAACAACATAAATGCAGTTTCCCTGTCAAATCCATAAGAAAATATGAGCAGTTTGTCCACAGACCTGTTGTGATCTTATCCCTTAATTTATCTACAACAGAATTACCTACTACAACATGTCAATGTAGATATACAAACCTTTAAACCTGTCAACTTAATGACACCAAATGCAATTCCCATAATGACTTCACAATAAAAGCCACAACTTTGTGACGTATGAGCGATACAAAAGTCTGAAATACAATCACAGGAAGTAAGTTGTTTTTCTATCGGTTTTATTTTGACGACACTAATATTCTACATTTTGAATAAAAGTGGGAATATTAAGGTACAAAAAGGAGGAAAACGTAGTAAAGTGTTATATTTGAAATGTTCTTTACAATTCAAAATGTTACTCTGAAAACTAACACTCTCAATTTACACAATAAAACAATGTAAAAACTGTTAACATTTATATACTTTTCTCTGAAAAATAAAATTAAAAATGTTCTTAAATAGAATAATTACTAAACCAAGCTTCAATGTCAAGTCATTGTTAATACCAAAATACTAAAATTAATTAAGAAACAGATAGGGATGTAATCAATCAATTTAGCAGCATCATAGCTAACCACATAAGCTTAACCTTTATTGTCAACATGGGTGTATTATGACAGAAGAGATGTATTTTTTTTCTTTAAAAAATTCATTAAAACGTGATCCACAGGTTATAAAAACCCTGTGGATGTGGCTTTTTTTCCTGTATTGTTCTTCTCTCCACTGATGTCCATCAAATCACACTACATAAAACAAACGTGGTTTAAACATCAGGAAGCACAGGCACTGTTGCTGTTCTGTGTAGAAATGAGTGAATGGTGGAGTGTGACCTTTTCCTGCTTCTAACATTCCTAGACAGCCAATCTGGGGGATACAGAGACATAATGTAACAACAAAAATGGAGATCTATGTGCAGACATTTACTCCAATGCCAGTTTTCTCCCTGACCTTGTGCTGTTTTCACAGAGAGGAAGTTGTGAGAAGATTGTGTAGAACACAGTACATGTGTTATTGTAAGAAGAGTAAATTATTGCACTCTTGCCTGTGACCAGGAGATTAGCAGGGTGAAAATTCAACTCGAACAGGCTGGAGCCATTTTAATCTTAAAACTACCAACAGGCTCACTGGGAGTGATGTAACAGCAGCCCGTGTAGTGAGTCCATTTGGACTGTGTTAGGGCAGAAACACATCCAGCAAAAGAGGCGCATATAGACAAATGATCGGAACTCCTAAAAATGCATAGATACAAATCAAACACACCGGTACTCATTTAAAAAAAGAAATCAAAATCTTTATTTTTTTTTTTAAGAAGAGGCTGTTCACGAAGGGTGCATTTAATCCATGATGAGGTAAAATCAGCCGAGGAAATAGGGGGAAGTCAGTTGGACCCGAGGTTGAGGCTAAAACTGAGGTTTCTCCAGCTATGCCAGGGCTCCCATAGGATCCCAGGCAGGGAGTACGACAGGTTCCTGCTGCATCACGTCAAGTACTTCAGGAGAGAGGAATTTCTTGTCCACCACCACTTCATACACATACTCTGAGAACCAATCGTCAGTCATGATCAGGTAACCTGCAGCGACAGACAAGAAACAATAGTAAAAGTATTAGTTTTGGTAAGTGAAAGTAAAAAAAAATTGAACTGTCATAGCTGTCATACTTGTGGTCAATTGCGGACTTGAACCAATCATGAAATGTAGGTTTAATTTCAGTTTGTAATTACTTATCATCCTTTAGCCACTCATGTCAAACCCAACATCCCTCCCACTGCGGAATCGACTTTTTTTTTTTATCAACCACAGAAACTTGCCACAAATC